GTCAGAGCTGCCCCCTCCTCACCACTCAGGCTCAGGGTGGCGAAACGTGAAAATACTTTGTACGGCTACTCGCCATCCATGACAGCCCCTGTGTGAGGCAGGTCAGAGCTGCCCCCTCCTCACCACTCAGGCTCAGGGTGGCGAGGGGCTGGCCGGAGCTGTCCCCTCCTCACCACTCAGGCTCAGGGTGGCGAGGGGCTGGCCGGAGCTGTCCCCTCCTCACCACTCAGGCTCAGGGTGGCGAGGGGCTGGCCGGAGCTGTCCCCTCCTCACCACTCAGGCTCAGGGTGGCGAGGGGCTGGCCGGAGCTGCCCCCTCCTCACCACTCAGGCTCAGGGTGGCGAGGGGCTGGCTGGAGCTGCTCCCTCTTCACCACTTAGGCTCAGGGTCGCGGTGGGCTTATCAGCAGCAGAACAAACAGAGGCTGGGCCCTCCCCCAAGGCTGACTCACTTTATGCGACCTGAGGCAAATACTGTTTAGGAATATAAATGCTGGCTTTAAAATATCAAGAGATAGATCTGAAGTAAATTGAGAATGAGCTTTCCCTGCACTCCCTCCCAGAGAGGGATATAGAGTGACTGAACTTGTGGGAACTGGCCCTGGACAGGCATTGAGCTCCAGGGTCACCCCTGCCCTCTGACCCTGTTCTTCTTCTCCAAGGCCCCCAGCAAGAACAGAGGAAGGAGGGGCGTCACTGGGAGTAAAAGTGCGAAATGAATCTGCAGGTTGGGGTCACATGGGCCTGGAGAGACTCTGAATCTAGGCTAGTGCATGGCTGAGTCATCCCCAGCATTCAGCCGCTTCCAAGTCTGCAAGGGCTGAGAAAGCCAGCCCACCCTCCCTATGAGCACACTGCACTGGGACTAGGGAGCACGGAGGAGGGGCAAGCAGCTTCCTTTAGGTGGTCCGAAAAAGCAGCCCTAACAGAACCCTGACTCCCCAGAAGAACCCCACCACCCGCGTCACTGACCCAGCAGCCAGGATGTGCTCAGGGAAAGTGACTTTCGCGAGGTCACGGAGCCTGTTAAACGCAGTCCTGGAGCTCATACCCAGGCCTCCCGACAGCGAGGCCCAGGGGTTCTGGGGATGGTCTCCTCCCAGGGAAGCAGCATTCTCCCATGGCGCCCAAGGTGAACCCACAGGAGGACAAGTGTATTTTCTGCAGATCTGTATCCTAGACCCTCCTCGAGGGAGAAGCACTAAAGCAGAGCGGGGCAAGCCAGGTGAAAAGGGCATCTAATTCCAGAGCCAACCAGGTGATTCTGGCTCACCCCCATGCATCAGCTCTTGCTCATTCCTGTGTGGACGCAGATAAAGTCAGGCAGGTGGACACTGGCTCTGAACTCAGCTCTAATTGCGTGGGCCAAAGGAGTTCCCAGCCCACGCCTCAGTGTCCTCTCCTCTAGATTGCTGGTAATAGTCATCATCAATTATTAGTGATAATACTATAGTGATAAGTGGACTGTATACAGCATCGGTATCATGCATGATCAATACTGCCGGGTTTTTCAATGATTCAAAGAAATATCATGTAAAACTGCTAGAACAATATCGGGCAGGGAATAAGAATAAAATTAAATGTTTTGTGCCTTTTATAACCCAACTGACCTTCTTGGTTGGGCAAACTCAAATTGACAATCACTAGGAGAAAAGTCCCCATTTACCTTGAATGAGGCAGAGTCTGAGATAACATTGTAACAATTCCTTACAAAGTTCAGCATTTCATGATGCTGAAGGATGTTCATGATTCTGTTGAGTGTCCTCCTTAACTTCCTCTGAGGTGGGGGAGATTGAGCCCCCATTCGCCGTGGAGGGAACTAAGACCCCAGGGCTGACCTGGTTGGCAGGTCCTGGTCTGGGCTCTCTCCCTCCACTGACCTGAGAACACAGGCCCAGCCACCTGGATCCCACAAGGAGCTTCGGGTCATTATGTTCATGCCCAGAGTCACTGGTGACCCTAGAGCTGTGCCCTGCTGGGGTTGTGCGTTAGTGGTCATCTGTCACCATCCTGGTTTGAGGCAGAGGTAGGAGGGCAGGGGAGGAGGGGCAGGCACTGGCTATAGCACACAAATAGCAAGAGAAGCGTCCCTGGGACCCAGGG